ATATTATGTATTATAAAAATATCCATACAATATGAATCACATTTTTTGTAACAAATACTTTCTGTCTTGGAAAAAAGCTTGTTGCAACTTTAATTGTATAGATTTTAAACTGCATTTGTTTCCATATTACTTATTAGTTTAAGTACACTGGTTTTTACATGATTCTCATGATGTCTCTTCACCCTAGACTATTCATGGTAAAAACAATTTTTTAACGATTATTTTGCTGCCATAGGATAAATATAATTATTTACTCCGTATGAATAGTATAATTCATTTTCTTGTTAATAGTAATTCTTCCTTCAATTTGTACACTTATTTGCATAATTTGCAAGTAATATCAAAATATCTTTCATTTAACAATCAACGAAGTATTATCTACTTTCTTTTGGTGCTGCCTCCTCCCATTCTACACTTGGTTTGATAAATTCAATGTCACTGGCCTCCTCAGAACTCGACACATTGTCGTCGTCAAAGTATGGTTTTGTAATTTCGTTAATTTCCACATTCCCTAAAATGATTAAAAGTAGTAAAAATTCGATATTGTAGAGTATTTTATCATACAGTAATCATCTTATAATATTTACCGTGAAATGGTCTTCTAAATATTTCAACTTCCTTTTCATCGTCGTCGAAGAAGCTTGTACCATCTTTAAGTAAACTGAACGCATATTTATTCCAATTACTCTTTCTAAGCTCAGCTTTGGAAGACCGGCAGTTGGCGTAAATAAAAATTGAGCATGCGATAATTCCCAAACATATAGTGCCTAAACAAAATTATTTTGTAACAGCAGATTGTGCATTACGATTTATATAATTGAAAATATCCGACTTACTTATAAGTATAATAAAAACGATTCTAGGCAATCCCAGAAATTTGTCGTCGTATCTTAATTTAAATACCAAATGCGAAGCGTTATGTACGTCCGGCGTGATGAACACTTTCGTTTGCAGAAGATATCCAGGTGCATTGGCGCTTATAACATGAGTTCCAGGTTCGAACAAAAGCGAGTATGCCCCATGCGTACCACTCTTAACATGATGTATCGATTTATTATACGATAAAATTGCATTTTCAATCGGTTCGTTATTCTCGTTAAGTATATATCCTTTAATTCCATCATTGAGTTTTTCCATAATCGCTAGTACACTAGCTCGGTTGTCTTCCCATATGTTTTTCGGATCATCTGTATTGCAACAAGTAATATAGACGTCCATTAAGAACGTACTTGTGTTTAGATAAAGATAATCCATCAGAGAATGCTCTCTCCTTCCACCTATACCCTTGCCAGCATGAATAACACCATCAGCGTTCACAATTAAATCGTGATTACACTGCGGATTCTTAGAAGTCATATGAATATTATGTTTTGTATAAAGCAGTGCTAGATCTTGCAATATATTGTTGTCATCCGTTTCATATATCTTCTCAGGCACCTTTCCGTAGCTAGCAGCGAACGGAATCTCAACGTGTTGCGAACCAATGTTCAAATTTATCGCTAATACCGCGTTAATTTCTTTAAACCAATCAATTATCATACTTGCTTCAGGATTTAATTTGCCATCGATAGGAAACTGCAAATTGTCGATAATGGACGGCGAACAGGACCGATTGTTGTTAGAGTTTTGCAATAAATCTGGCGCAATGTACACTGTGAATTTATCCAAATAACTAGTGATTCCAATATCTTTCTGGTAACGACTTAACAAATAGGTCGCGATGTGCAATAAGATTTTTGAGGTCACCGGTGCACCGTTTGAAATACCGGCTACGAAAGCCACGGACGGACGACCGATGCGCTTATAATTACTCTCGCTTCCGATTTCCAAACACATTATTCGACTGCCCCTCTGTGATCTACCGATAGTATGTAAAATTGACAATTGCGGGTATTTGTTGTTCAAGTCAGTCAGGAATTGGTTTACAATATTCGTCTCTTGATCCCCGTTGTGTTCCTGTATCTTCTGTTCTGTTTTCTCTGTATGGCGTTTCGTTAATTTTATGCTAATGTCAGATACACTTTCGATGTTCACGCGTACTTTCACGGATTGTTCGATGTAGCCTTTACACTGAACCGTTAGCACATATTCTCCAGGAAGTAAGATAATTTTAAAGTAAGCCATATTCTTCGAAACGTGATACGTATTTGTATCGATCTTAACTACAGCTTCTCTTAAAGGAACATGGTCAACGTCTGTTATTATGGCTCGGATACCAGTCGTAAGGCTGTTGAGTAATTGCTTCAGGGGTAATAAGTTTTCTCGCCAAATAGTAGGAATAGATCCTGCGGGTGGATATTTACAACAAGCCATGTTGATGTTTATCTAAAAGTAGAATGCAATGTTGACTGAATTGATATGACGTTGAATGAATATAAAATTATTAAGAAGAGAATAGTACTACTTACTACTGGGATGTTGTATCGATCGTTAATAAAATTTTGTACTTTCTCAACGTTATTGTTAAAGGAACTACAAGATCCTTTCCGTATTGAATATTCATAATTCTTAGCCAAACTTTTATATACGTGCAAGCTGTCATCTACGTACCTAATATAAAAAAGCAGAACATTAGTTTATAAGTTTATTGCATACTAAAATAAGAACTACATCTTTTCTTGAAACTTACCCAACTTCAAGCGAACCACTGCCGATCATTACTATCACGTCGTAGCCTTCATTAGATAACATTGATTTAAACGCATCAGTAATTAGGTCCAAATTATCATGACTAGTGCTGTCATTTTGTAACAACAATTTTTCGCCTATTTCGTCAGACACAGTAGGATTGCATTCTTTCACATTTAATATGTTATCAAAACCTGGATCTATGGCGGGTACAAAATGCAACACGGATTCATTCAATATTCTCTGTATTGGAGGATCTCCGATTTGGTTTCCCATGAGAATATGAGTCGCCAATCGTAGTAACATTTCTCGACCCACTGGTTCAGATGCAAACAATCCGCCCATTAAACCAATATGAAATTTATTTTCCTCTGGCGCGCCCATCTGTGATTAATAAATTATGAATCTTTTTCAACACAGTCTTAGCAAAAGGTATTCATATATTTCTTCAGAAAAAAACATGCTTACATTGTGCGTAATTTTTAGCGAGTGAATAGCCATGCTGACTAACGACTCTCCAGCTTCAAATTCTGCAATGTTTGGCTGATGATTTTCCAACTGACTAAATCTGGCATTTAACTCGGCGTTTTTTAAATAGATATTCTGCAGGTTTGCCATTAGTCGGAAATCGTAGGCTGATGACCTGCAATGTTAATAATAACGCTTAAAAAATGCTGTTAATTCAATGAATAAAATCGTATCACAAAGATAGTAAATATTTGTCCAAAGATGTTTTGCTAATTTACTTTTGTGGAATCATAGGAGCAAGAATTTTATGACTTCTTATCAAAGGGAAACCTTTCTAACATTCAACAAGACATTACTCTGAAAATCGTAATGAAAGAGTTGCATTAAAGCAAACAGCCTATTCTCCTAATTATAAGAAATAATATATTTATACCAATGTTGTGGATCGTCTCGCATTAACGTGAAGTCCAACATTACTTCGCCCTGTCCGATACCATCACCTTCTGGTACTGTTACCGTTTGCGTTTGGGATTCATATCCGATCGCGTTAACTGTAATATTGTATGTTCCTGGAACTAGAAGACGCCAATAATCTCCATCGTTGCTCGCATAAATGTCATGATTAATCCCTGCCACGGATATTTTTGCATGAGGTACAGGAGTTCCAATCGATGACCGTATAACACCGTGTACGCCCTTACGAGACTGTGAATGACGCAAAGTAATTATTTTTTACGATCTTATTCTACAGACAAATACGCAAACATGAGAATTTCAGTATGTATTTGAAAGGAAAGAGTACAAGACAAAAAACTGTATAATTATCAATATATGTAAAAAAAATGTGTATAAATATAAAAACGTATAAATATATACCATTTCTATAAGACGTAAAAGGGATTCTCTATTCTCTAGCCAATAATGTGGTAGTTCAGTCTCATTCGGATATTTAGTGCACCCTACTTCAATTGTAAGTTCAAAATCATTACTCTGAAGATAATTATAATCCTGCATTCCTCCGCTAACTAAGTACCAAGCAGCCCCGTTTGTTATTCCATTCGGAAAACTCTTTTCTAATACACTTGGCATCCCATATCGTTCGTTCATGAACGAAGGGCACGGCTTTCCAAGATGCATGCGTGGATGAGCATTCGAATACGTCAGTGCGAGAGCTTTGAACACTTTATCGTCTGGGCTTAAATTTTCGCCGTAATCCGTTGGTCCGTTATCGTATGGATAATTTACCACCAATGCACCACCGTGAAAATCAGCAGAGAGTACAAACGGGATGCTCGCGATCCAATTCATCATCGCCTTTGTCTCAGGTTCTTGTTTTATGTTGAACTGTAAAAAAGGCACAATAACTGGATTTGGGCAAAAGGTAAGTGTATGTAAGATGCATACTGGATAAACTCGTCAATAAAATTGAGAAAAAAAGATGATTCGTACATCATTCGTTTCGTACTGATCGGGAAAGTTTCTATTGAGATCAACACCAGCAGCATTCGCTCTTCCCCGATCTCCAATAACATCTCCTTCCTTCGAAATCTCGTAACCATCTGGGTTCATGCTTGGCATCACGTGCAGTCTTACGTTTTTTAATATTTTTGTGACTCTCTCGTTGGTCCCGAAGTTCTCGCACAGATATTTCAACAAGAGTAATAGAATCTCCTTACCAACCACTTCGTTACCATGCATATTTCCTACATATTTTACTTCAGGCTTGTTCGGGTCATGCTTTCCAGGATTCTCTGTTATTTCCATAACATATAATTGACGCCCTTTGACAGACTTCCCTATAGTGTAAAGCCTGGTAATGTTTGGATAATTTATATTTAATTCTTTCAAATATCTTTCCATTGCTAAGTAATTGTGATGCTTGAATTCCGTATCGTGATAAAAACCGTATTTATCTACTTGACGCATAATTTCTTCAACTCTGTCTGACATTAGTTTACCTATAAATTAATACAAACATAATGAAGGAAACGATACCATCAACCAAATTACATAATATTGTTCACGGGAATAAGAATTCAGGAAAAAGGATATTACATTCTTCAATAAAAAGTATGTATAGAATGAAGAAACTAGAAAATTATAAGAAATGTACTTCAACTAAAACACAACACAAGGTATAGAGAACATAAAAAGTTGATGAAAAATAACAAGACAACTGTTCACAATTGAAAAACAATAGGAGAATAGAAATAAGAGGAAGAGGCTGGAAAACAACTGAGAAGACTAAGTCAGTTTCAAGCAAATAGAATACTTTATTTTTTTATACATCATACAATATACTATACACCAAATTACAAATATAATCATAAACATATTGTTTTATATTTTTCTAACAATGTTAACAAAATTATATAATAGATATTTTTCATATGTCTCATACTAAAAAAGTTTGGATATATTTCTCATTATTCGTGAAACGCAGATTTCGTATATAACCATATCGTTTTATAGTACAATGTATGATTTCATTTTACACTGACAAAGTATTTAAAATTATAATCCTGTACAACAAATACGATTCCTCGTCGACTTAAGATTTTTGGTTTCGAGATGTTTTCATATCTCATACGTAACAGTTCAATCGAAAACAGATTTAACAAATGCATTGTAAACGAATATTAAATTAAAAATAGTAAGCAAATTTTAAGTCTTCTTTATTATCATTCTAGAGTTAAGAATGTTTGATATTTTTCTCCATACCTTGTGTGCATGTTTTTTATATTTATTAAAAACATAACGAAATATATAAGGGTATAATCAGTGTCAAATAATCTGTGTTTGTAATCATATCAGTGCTGGAAAATGAAAATAACGAACATGATTGAATAAAGAAATTAAAAATGAAAAGAAATTAAAAAATGTGGTTACCGAAGTAAAAATAATAAATTTAAGTTCGTATAAACAAGTAAAAACGTAATAAAATGTTTGTTACTTGTCTATGTAAATATAATTAATAATTTGTTTGATCGTCGTCGTAAAATGGTAGCAGTTTATAAAGTGCAAGATATGGATTAGGAAGTGACAGCATACGTAGAAAATTACCTTGATCCTCGTAAGTATTCTGTCTCAAAGTAAAATTTAGAATGATCGGTTCACCAGCTTCTATTGTCACATTTATCACTTCGCTCGGTTGATATCTAAAATGGAGTATCCAATCGTTGTTAAATAGATTCATTAAATACGCCGAGCAAGGTATTGTCAAGCTTACTTACCCCCATGCTTCGGCATGAAGATAGTAAGTACCAGGCAGCAACAAACGCCAATATTCGCCACGATGTGTGGTTGAAACATTGTGATTTATTCCGTGTACAATGATAGTTGCTGCTTCTACTGGTTGACCATTTGTATCTCTCACAACACCTGAAAACATATGGCAGCAATTAACATACTTATGTATATACAACAGGTATCGGGATTAGAATTAAAATTAATAGACAAACCTTTCAGTCCGATATGTGCCTGTTCGAGATATTTTATAAGAGACTCCTTGTTTAATCTCCAGTGATCAGGCATCGAACTCGCGTTTGGATATTTGCAGCAACTCAATTCAAATGTTATCTCAAATGCGTTGGAGCGAGCATAATTGAAATCTTGCATCCCACCAATGACTTCATACCTGTACAGAATGCGTTAGAATAAAACATAAATATTTCCTAAAAATAAAAACCCGAGTATCTATAGTTACCAATATGCTCCATTTGTAATGCCACCTGGGAAATTATCCGATGGACATGCATTACCTGCGTGCATCAGAGGATGATTATCTGCATACGCGTGTGCTAAATATTTAAATACTGCGTCATCTGGACTTTTATTTTCGACACAACAAGGCCTTGCAATACTGTAAGTGGAAATTAGAAGATTTGTAGAAAGTGACAGATCTTCATAATCACATATATTTGAGTTAAAAATATTAAGTACTCATCATTACCCGGAGTCGTAAGGATAACTTGCTACAATAGCACCACCATGAAGATTTCCTGATAGTACAAAAGGTTCTGTAGCGATCCAAGTCATCATAGCTATTGTTTCATTCTGCCGCCCATCTAATATGTTACCACCCCTACGAAGGTGATTAGTTTTCCCATTAAATTGATCTGGGAAATTTCTATTTAGGTCAACATGATTTGCGTTCTCACGACCCGAATAATCCTTCTTTGATTCACATTTTCCTTCCTAAAATAATTAAAAAAACTCGTACAAACTAAGTCCTTTGACTAATGAAATCACTGAAGAGAACAGGAACTGCTACCTCTGACTTCTCGAAACCATCAGGGTTCATTGATGGCATAAGGAAGATATCGGTGTTGTTCACCAACTTCGTAATTCTCTCATCTTTACCATAATTATGTAAAAGGTATTGAGCAAGATATACCAACAATTCTCTGCCCACAGCTTCATCCCCGTGCATGTTAGCAACATACTTGACCATCGGTTCTCCTAGTTTTCGTTCACGAACATTTTCAGAAATCTCGATGTACAATAAATCTCTACCTTCTACAGATTTTCCTATGGACGAAACTCTGGCTAAATTTGGATATTTTTGAGCCAGCGAGCTAAACAACTGTTGAAGCTCCTCATAATGTGTGTAGTGTGGAATGATAAAATCTTCTTCTAACTTGTCACCGGAATTCATCGCGAAACCGTCGATCATCCCGATTAGGAAGAAAACGAACGGTACGATATTAAGTACGCTCACGCCTGCCATATTTCCGTATTTATTCGTCCGAGAATGGAATAAATTGTCAAGTTTTAGTACGACATTCTACACAACACAAAGCAAAGACCAGCAAAGACATGCACAAACGGTACAAACGATGTCCGGTATAGGTACAGCTCGTATCCTAACTCGCATACTACCATACATACATATGTAGTATCACATAGTATACTAGGTGATGACGTTCGCAAAATGCGAACGGAGTGGGACAGGGGATTACCGTGAAATGAACGATACAGGATACATCTACTAAAGACTCTTTAATCATATCCCTCACACTGACGCACAAAGTTTTTTTCCTTTCTTTATTTAGAATATGGATTTTTTTTAATGTACCATCTGTTTTTACCAATTTAATTTACCCTTCGAGAAAATTATATATTTTTATGATAATTTTTGAATTGATCGTATAAATTTAAATAAAAATAGTAACAAATTAGTATAATAACGCAATACTAAATACTATTACTACCTATATTGTGTATGTATGTATGTATGTATGAATATTGCGTATATATTGCATATAGTGCAAAAACTGTATTGCATTACGTTTACCCATATATGGAATGCACTTTAGATAAGTATTGCTTTTATTCTTATCACATATAATTTTTCTTCCCCTGAAACGACAAAGATAAGGATAAGGCTCACGAGCAGGGGTGCTATATAGGTGTTATATTGAGGGATAGAGAGGTAGTAACACAGTTAAGAATTACAAGATTAGACATCTGACAAAAGTAGTAAGACAATGAAGAATAATAATAAAAGAAGAGTGTAAAGTAAAAGAAGAAATAGCAGAGTCAAATGATAATCGGATACATGAGTCGCGTAATTCTACACCGAAAAATTCTACTCCTACATTTATTAAAAAGAGAATTTAAATCAGAATACGAAACACAAGGTACATACCAAAGCCGACAGATAAAAAAACAGCTGTATGCCTCGTACGTACTCAAAAAGCTACTTTTGCGTTTCATTCAACATGAGAGAAACTTAATTTCTTAGTGCGTTAAATATATAGTAGATAATAACTTCTTCGATGAAAATTGTACAATAATTTATTATTGATATTGTACCTCCCTTTTCATATAAAAATACACTTGCTTTCCATAAAAACATTCAATTGTTATTAATAGTACAATTTATTTTACAGAGTGCGCCTAAAGATATTTTATATTGATCAAGTTTTAAAAGAGTGCCTTTTCCTTTTCTTCGTCTGCTTTTTTTGAGTTTCTAAGGCAATATCATCTTCCGATGCTTTCTTCTCACCGCTTTTTACAGATATAAGATTTTTGTTCTTCTTTCCGGTGAGCGCCGAGTTCCAATCGGCGTCTGTTCCTTTGATGGCATACTGTTCTAAGTTTTCTCGTTTCAATTTCGCCAATTCAGCTTTTTGCTTCGCTTTCAATTCCTGTAAAGAATATCTCGATTGAAGTATAGTTCAATGTATTTACATTTACATATTTAATGAAGAAATATTAATTACTTTAGCAGCACTTTCCAATTCATCGTGCAAACTTTTGTCGATGGGTTTAAGATGTACATCCTGATTGCTTATTTCCTTGTTCATAATCGTACGCTCAATAAAATTCTCCGCTACACCGTTAAGATACTGTACAAATTTACGTATGGTACGATTAAACAAGCCAAGCAATTGCGTCGATGGCAAACCTAGTTCCTCTGCCAATTTGTCGACAGTTTTATGCTGCAAACCTAATCCTAATAAAATTGCCTAAAAACACTGTTCGTTTAGAATCTGCTGTAAATAATTGCAAACATAACTTTTTCATCTAATTACCGATTGCACTGCTGACAAGTGTGTATCGCCTGCCGCGTTTACAAAATATAAACGCGCTAGTGATGGTAAGAGATCCATTACCAAATGATAATCTGCCATATTATTACTGTACATAGTTAAGCGCTTCAGGTCGTAAGATGTAAAGTATACATCTAGTACCTCTTTCGTTAATGCTAGAAAATAAGTTTGTTATGAAAAGAATTGATTTAATTTAAAATATTAGAAAGATTGTACTCACTTTTAGACTCTAGTGTAACTGCTTTATTAATCAATATACTTAGAGCTAACGAGGATGGATACGTATTGAATGAGAATGACAACAGACTTATAAAGCGTTTCCGAAAATCATTCCAATACGCTTGTAGCCACTTGACTTCTTCGTGTTCAGAATTTATTTTATATATCATGATACATGAATGTTCACCCGTTATGTCGTTGGTCGTTTGTCTAAAAATAAAAAATTACTCGATGCACAATGTATTAGTATATAATAAGTAATAAGAAGAAAAAATGCCAACCGTAGATACACCGGGACAAAACCAGCTCGTTTCCAAAACTTTAATAGCTGTTCAGTAACGCCGTAAGACACACCGATGTAATCTAAACTTTCCGGAGGTCGCTCGTTGAGCTTCAATAGAAGCGGTGGAAGGGAAGCTCGAGGTTCTATAAAATTAATTATGTGAGTATAATGATATTTAATACATATACGATGTAATTACCGATCGTTTCTTCCAGCAGATTTACTTCTTCGTCCTGGACTCTTGATATTTCCGTCTTGGGCGCGTCTACCGGTGCTTCGTTAATATTAACTATCTTCATCTCATAATATTCTTTTAGTAAATTCAATGCTCGACTACCGTATCCCATCTGTAACGAAATATTTATAATTTTATATACAACTTCAGTTCTAACAACTACTTATGACTTGATATTTCTAAGTGTTAATACCTAAATTTCATAAATATTGAGATTACTTCTTCTTTTACTAAGCTATAAACATAATAATAATAAATAAATACCCCATGATAATCAGGATGAGTTGCGATGCGAACGATACGCGCTCCGGCTAATGATGGAAAATCTTCATCTTGATACTGCTGAGCAATGGTCCATGGAATGAGATCACCAGCTGCTCTTTTCCCTCGGACTAGCCCATCGTTTATGGTACTTTTACTTACTTCCCCTTCTAAGCAAATCTGCACGATTTCATTATATGATGAATTAGGATCTCGCCAAAATATTGTCAATTAGCAACTTTGAACAATATTTATATTGGATTTTATACTTAATCGAATTAATGAGTTTTGGATTAATTTAAGTGATATTTGTAGTGTGTACTCACTTGAATCACGACTAGTACTTCAGGCAACGTTTTCTTGTTCGAATCGATCGGACCAAGAAGACAAAACAGGTGATGAGCCGGGGCATCAGACATCATTTGCAAATCATTCGGGCTATTCTGAAGCGAGGATAATTCAGTATTTTTTTAAACTCTAAGAAAATACCCTAATTTTACCTTATAGTGAGACGAGACGTATAGAGCCACCAATCTTTGTAAGAATAATTCAGATGCCTTGTGATAAGAAAACAAGGTATCCCTGCAAGCAAAACATAATAATTATTCATTGGTATATCATATTGGGTTATTGTAAAAGTTCTTGCTTGATTTGAAATAAGATATTATTTAATTCACATTCATCATTATATCACATCATAGCGAAAATTAATTTTTCTTTCTTCACATTGAAAAACCACTTTTATCTGTTGATAGGCTTGTAACACAATGCTAAAACAAACATCTATGCGAAAGTATGATGAAATCTGAGCCACTTTTAAAAATCGGGCACGAACTTCTGCACTGACCTGATAAATATATTTCACTTAATATTTGAATACCTGTTTATATAATATAATTGGCACATATCTGGCGGTGGGCAGCCGGACAATACAGGAGCGCTTGTTGTAGCATTTAAGCATAATAAATCGCACAGCCATTGTTCGATAGAGTCTCCCGGCTTATAACGGATAGACTCTTCCAATGTCAATTCATGCAATTGTCTTCCAATAACAGTCTTCTCATTTTGCTTGTCGCTTTTTTCATGAGTATTCGAATTGACAGTTTGACTTCTTAACTGTTGTAATAATTTTAATGATAAAGATCTGCCTGTTCCTTCGTATCTACAACGAATTATACACTGTGAGTAATGATAAAACAATGGGAAAATTAGATATTAAAATTGATTACCCATTAATGGTTGACGCGAGAAATATTAAATAAGGACCAAGCATAGCTTTCACGTAAGGGAGAGGTATCGCTGCAGCTTCATCGATCACGAGCAACTCGGCTTGGTTCAATTTGTGTGCGTCAGTAGGATGAATGTACTAAAAATAAATTTTCTTTCTCAGTACACATTATTATAATTATTAATTTTATATGGAATGTACCTGTATAGTTTGCCTGTGATCTCGAAACACATTCACCCGCACAGTAGCCTTATTAAACTCGGGATTTGTAGATTGTACTAGACCATAATCAAGATGTTCTTGATAACCCAAAGCATCAAACCCTAAAACGATGTAAAATGTAAATAATCGAAGGAACATAATAATTTTATCAAGTACAGTGGTTACGAAAAATATTTGTACACTTTATAAAACGGAATAACTTTTGATATTGAAGCAAACAACGTCACTTTCTGTGTAATGTATACAATTTGTTAAAAATTTCTGTTGTTCGGAATCGCGAAGAAAAAATTAAATGTCGCATTTTTTTAACATGGTAAATTAAGTCTTCTAGCATCCCATGGAAAATTATGTTGTTTCATCCGAAATTAAAAAAGTGATTTCGGTTCAAAAGGTGTAGCCACTGTATGTACCTTTGAAAACGAATTCGAATAGTGTGTTCAAGTTTTCGGGGCTTGGACTCGAGATGTAAATGTTCGAATAGCCGAACGTTACAGCTCCCGCAATTGCTAAGCCTAACGCTGCAGACTTTCCACGTCCTCTTGATGCAGTTAAAGAAACAGTGGACCTTAGTGTCTTCTCCGATATGCATTCGATAAATTTCAAAAGAGCTTTCGCCTATAAATGTAAGACATTTTAATTTCTGATCAATATTAATAGTAAAATAGTTTGGGAAACGAACCTGATCAATTGTCCTGCAACAATCAACGAGAGAAGAAATAGGTTGCGTATCTTTCAAGCTCTGTTTCAGTGTATCTAACTCTGTTATCTCTTCGGAAGAAGTCAACTTCTGTACAGGATCGATCTTCAAATTATGAGATGATAAAGGCAGAACATTTAATTGATCGTCGACGACCAGACATCTTTTGCACGATGCAAGAGACAGCAAAAATCTTTCGTTGAATCTACCAACAACATCCTAAAACAAAATTACGAATATTAAACAGTCTCATAAATTAGTCTGAAATCAAGTGAGAATAAAGTGTGAATAAAGTACTTGATGCGCTTCTGTACGAAATCTTTGATGAACATCCATATTCATGGCATATAACTGTTTCAAAGAATTAACGGACTGTAAAAGAAAGATGATAAGTCCTCCTCCTTCGACAGTTTCTATCGTACGCGCCAACAAGTTTGGTGTAATTGCCTCGAAATCCTAGAAGACGTGATTATTATATGTAATAAAAATATTCATCTGACGTTAAGGGGGTAGAGGCTATCGAAGTCTGTCTCTTAATTTGCAAAATTAGGCAATCTTACCTGCAAGATACACATGCCGTACGTATTTCCAAGTATTTTATGTGTCTCATTATAATAACAATATCGTATATTAGTGGAGGCAACGAACAATTCGAAGGTATCGTCTTCATTCACATCCAACTTTCCTGATTTAATTTTCTTCTGTATAGACTTCATCCGTTTCTTTCGATGACTGCTAAAACCTAATTCCTTCTTGTAACACCAAAGCACGGAAGGTCTAGCTTTTATAACAGTCTTCGATAACATATGATGCAACAGAACAACCTGACAAAAAGACTCTCCTGTTAGAACTAACATTTTAATATTAATTTCATACTTATATTAAGTCAGTGCAGAAGTTCGTGACCAATTTTTAGAGGTGGGTCACATTTCTCTCTAACTTCAGCATACAGTAGAACCTCCATTATATGAACTAATTAAGAAACAAATACTCATATAAAACAATTTTCAATCATCATTTCGATCAACTACGATCAGGCCGATCTTGCAGTTTTTACAAAAAAGGAATCCACGTGCTTGTAAAAAAAATGATAGAAAACAGGGATGACTATTTAAAAAAATTTTACCGTAAAATGTAAATGTTCATATCATAATTTCAAATTAGTCAAGAACTTTCGTACTAACCCAACATATTTAATTATACTAACCTGGTCTCTTGCTTTCTCACCGATTACAACAAACATTGTCCTGTGTCCTGTGACAACCCCATTTTCAATCAAAACGCGTACGCGATTATCAATCTTTTTACGAACCATTTTTTAAAGCTATCTATTCGTATTTTAATCAATCTCGATTTAAAAGCATGTACTATCAGCAGTATCAGCACACCACGTGTACTTTGTGTCCAGTCCACTTCGTGTTGCTTTGTGTCTTTGTCAGTCTTTGTGTATCTACAATTCGCTCACGATGTTCACTCTACGCGTGTTCCGACTAATTCCGACTGTTCCAAGTTCTGAAACGGAAACTGGAAAGACAGTTTCCACCAATTTTCCAAATCGATAGGATATGTATTCCACTGTAATATACACAGAAAGGTAGGCGAAGTAAACGCAGTTAGATAAGGACACAGAGAGGGCCCGTATCATTCTTTTTCTCTGTTTTACTTCTACGGTTTCCACTATTCTACTTTATGCTCAGCACCACTTGCGCCACTTGCGCGACGCGGTCAATTCTTATATGCCTATGCATTTCCCAGGCATGTTCAAGAATTGGTTATGTCAGTTCCATGTAAAAACTTTAAAGTTTCTTTATGTGAATTAAAAAGACAACTTATTGAACAAAACTTGATGTACTTCTCTATTTTTCAAAGAATAGTAGTGGTGAACTATTAAAATATACATATTGCACATAAACATATTTTTAAAAATAATTCGTGAAAGAGAGGTTAAACCATTGTGTTTATTTATATAATTTATTGTTATGCTGGGGGAAAAGCCAGAAATTTTTAAAACCATATATACGTAAAATAGGATACTTTTTAACCATGTCGTATATGAAAGAGGAGAAACAGTAAGTCATTTAAGAATATTGATAAACAAAAACATGGACAATACATTATTCATTAATTGAAAAAAATTTCAGATATGGCTTGATATTGCCTAAAAAGCAACAGTCTGTGGCACCAAAAGTTAGTAATGTATTTGGTGATAATGATGATTCAGATGAGGAAGATGGTACTGATTGGGTCAAGAAAGCTCTTCAAGCAGAAGGAGAAAAACATAAAATTAAAAAGCAAACAAAATTAAATATGCAAAAGGCTTTGAAAGAAGATCCTACTATATTCCAATATGATGAGGTATACGAAGACATAGAAAAGAAAAAGGATCAATCAAAAGGTGTAAGAGATGAGAAGAAGAAACCTAAGTACATACAAAATCTATTGAAAGCTGCTGAACGAAGAAAAAAGGAACAGGAATATAGAATAGAGAGAATGGTCCAGAAGGAACGTGAGGCCGAGGGAGAAATGTATGCTGATAAGGAAAGCTTTGTTACTTCTGCTTATAGAGCAAAATTGGAGGAATTTAAGAAATTGGAAGAAGAAGAAAACAACATGGATAGATTGGAGGCCATTGGGGATGTTAGAAAGCAGCAAGATATGTCAGGATTTTACAGACATTTATATGAACAAACTATTGAACCATCAAAGGAGTCTGACGCAAAAAACGATATAAACAATCAAGAAATAATTCCTCAAATTGATGCAAGTAAAGAAAACGTTGTAGTGAGTACTCAAGAGCAGATTAAAAATAAAGAAATGAAAAAGAATAGGCAGTACAGGCAACGAAAAATAGAAGAAGACAGTGATTCGGATACTGATATTCAACAAAAAATAGATAATACAACTTCCACAGCTGAAAAACGTAAAAACGAGGAGCAAAGTAAAGACATTGAGAAGATGGAACCTGAAGCTAAGAAGCAAAAACAAGAAATCGAGAATAATAAACCTGAAGAAACATCTAATGACGATAAATTAGAACATGATGTCTCTTCCAAGAATAGTGAAAAGGGATCAGAAGAAAACAAGAACGATGAAAACGATGAAAAGGAAAGAGCTGAAAAAGCGAGTATTAGTGCAAAAGCAAAAATAGAAGCAGAGAAAAAGGAAAAGGCTAAGATTTGGGTGAAAAGAACAATTGGTCCTGTATTTGAGGCAGCATTAGAGAGGTATTATGCCAGGAAAGCTATGAGAACAGCAGCTAGTTAATGAAATTTAATTGTTAATATAAAATATTATTCGCTGTATATGTCTATACATATTAGGATGTGATAATAAAAAGTTTTGGTCATTTTGTGTTCGGAAATTACATTCCTCTAATATAAAATGTAGCATAAATTGCTCTTAAATATTGTATTAACAATAAACAAATTATAAAATTATGAAAGATTGTATAGAAATAACAGTACGTAATAGTAAATATATTGTATCATGGGAAGGTATATATCATTAATATTATAATATGTAAACTTTCATGTACTAAAACAAATGATGCTGTGTAGTAAAATTTTTTATCACGTAATTACTGCTTT